ATTGTTCTGCTTTAGTTAAATAAATTTCATTGGCTTTTTGTGCATGAAGGAAGGAATCAGGTTTGCCAAGATTGCCTAATAAAATTTGTTTTGATGAACAGATTTTTAAAGGATTCTAATTAGCAAAGGTCAGCACCAGTCTATGCTACCTTGGTTTCCGCTTACAGCGCAATTTCTATGTTTCAATTTAATTAGATAATTATAAATTGTTTCGAAAGCAGTCTATTCTCTTTACTAGACTTGTCCTTTATTTAAGGAGATGCACAGACTAATTTATTTATTTTTTATTTAGCAGAAGGAAACTTCATGGCTTCAGCACTAAAGCAAAGGCTGGCTACCTGTCTTTTCGTTGCTACTGCTGCAACTCTTACCTTCAATCAGGATTTCTCAACCGTAGCACTACGGCATTTTAGTCCAGATAATTAATTATTGTGAGGGACTCGCCTGTGCATTGTAGGAAGCTTTGCAGCATACCTGGCCTCTTCCCAATAGATGCCAGACACCCAGGTGTGACCATCAAAAATGTCCCAACATTGCCAGATGTCTCCAAGTAGAAGAGAGAATGAAGGGAATAACATTACCCAAGGTTAAAAACTATTCCCTTAAATCAATGACTCTTGTCTTTCTATGCAGGGAAAAATGATCCTATCTTCTTTCTCTTGTTCATATTATGAATATATTCTTAGAAAATGACCAGAAGATGTATTAATAATTTAATTTTGAAGGGCAGATTTATATAAGGAATGTCAAAAGGAAAGGTCACTGGAATAATCAACACATATGAGAATGACATTTGAAAACCATGTTTCATCAGAGTTCTTCTCTTGGAAAGTTCCTAACAAATAAGCTTAAATGCATATTTGGCACTGCCAGCTTCTAAATGAGAAATGATTTGGGAGATGGAAATTGGCAGAAGAAAAAAATGATCTTCAAAATAGTAACTTCATTATAGCTTCAACAAAATTAAGCCTGTTAGTAAGACTTACAGTCTTGGTATTTCTCCTATAGTTATATGAGTGCAAATTAATGTAACGCTATTTAAAATCAACACAGTTGAACTATTATTGCTAGAAATGAAAAGCAGCCCGTATTGCACTTTCGTACATCTCCAAATATTTTGTCCCCAAATATAATTTCCTTTTATTCATTGAGAATAAAAATTTAGCTGTTTTATACACAAAATGTTTTAAAGCACATTCGGGATGAAAATAATCTCAGAAAATGACTGCTGTTCTTGCTCTTAAAACGAAAACATTTCATTATTTTTACAAGTGAGCATTTTTCATCATGCTGTCTATGGCCTTGAGAATCTCATACTGCTGAGTGGGTTCATCCATTCTCACTATCTGCATGTGGATGAGTCAAAATATAAATTAATACTCTCCAGAGCTCCGACATGCAAGTCAGATGGGGTATATGCAAATTAAAGTAGTTAAGCCAACAAAAGACACCTGTTTGGTGAGGGGACAAAGGACCAATAAGAAGTGAGCTTTGCTCTAACGGACGGAACATGGGGGAAGGAACACCCTAGAAATAAATGCTAAACCACAGTTCAGTGATGAGGTTGCTGCTGTCATCATCTTGCTTTTCCAAAAGATACTTAAGAACCCCACTGAACTGCCCTTAGCTTAGCAACGTTCCATCTTCGTCTAGGAGGGAGGACCACAGTCATTGCCAACCACTTCCATCCTGAAGAGAAATGACCAAGTGGAAAGAAATTTACAATTTCTGCCCCAAAGTGAAAGACCAGGGGTTTGTGTAGAGTCATTTGCTATTTCTATTTTTTTTTCCCTTTTTCATCTATGGTCCCCCCAAATGGGTATTCGCCAATCCTTAAGAAAATAATTGCATGCCTTCAAGTTAGCTAAATTTCTAATTTCTCCCAATTTTCTTTTCCTCCTTAGTTCCCTATTTTGAATTAAAGGGATCAACCATCTCTCTAGTCACCCAAACTAGAAACTTCAGAGAAACCTCCCTCTAGCCCATCTGCCACAACTTAAACAGCTGCCCGAGATCTCCTGAGGCTACAGCAGCGTGTCTGGTAGCTGTCTTGCCACCACTGCGCCCAGTGCCCCGGTGTAGGAGCTCATCATAGCTTACACCCCGATTAATTCCAGACGCTTCCAAATGCTCTCTCAACACCAGTTTCTCCTGATGCCAAACACTTACGCTTATTACTACTAAATCTGTCCATCTGAGACACTGATATAATCACATAAGTCAACTAGATAATTCTTTTAAAATTCTCTATTTTCTATGGATTAAAAATCAAATTCCTTCCCATAGAAAGTCAAGACTCTCCACTATTATTCCTGATCAAATTTTGTGGCTAACACACACATAATACTCTAATCATTCGAGGTTTTCTATCATTCTTCAAGGTGTCAAGGACTTTTACATCTGATATTTTTCTTTTGTTGGTCTGTCTTTTTATAAGGCTATCGAGTTCAATCTCTCTCTACTTCTTTATGGCAAAATTCTGTTCAACAGCTAATGTATTTCAGTTAAAATTATTAGCTTATACTTTAGTGTTCACACAAAATCTTATTAATAGCTTCAGTATAGTATATAACTATACTGTAGTTTAGTTGCATACGTAACTATTTGCCCTTCTAAACTGTGAACTCCTTGTGGTCAAGGAATATGCCTCATTCATCTTTGCAGTCTCAGTAGTTTAGCTGCAAAAGAGTTAGTGTTAGTACTATTCAATTCAAACAAGCTTGATATTAATCACTGAAAATAAAAGACAACTTCCAAATTATATATACTTTTATTTTTCTCATCTTTCATTTTACCTTTACCTAAACTGATATAATTTTATCTAGTTCCAAAATCAAATGTGGATATAAGACTCATCTAATGATTGTTTAAGAAATTAGAAGAAAAAAAAATGGGTGGTAAGAAATTAAGTCACCATATTTCCCTTATTACATTTTTCAAGAGGTTTAAAAACCATTTTCAAAACTAATCAAAATATAAGACTGTTTCATCACTTCAGTTTGAAAGTAAGAATTTTGCTCTTAATGAAAAATATGTAATACAAAATATAGTTTGTTTTTTTATAAATATCTGATACAAATTCATCTGACTATGCAAAACTACTGCTATTCAAGGAGGTAATGATTACGTCTATCCCCAGAAGGATATTGTTTATATAAGATTCCATATAGATATTTGTAAGTAAAATCATTCACTTTCTGAATAGAAGAAAAGAAAAGATATCTTATATTTCAAAATAATGTGCTTATAAAAACTATTGCCATATTCTTTGGTGATCAACTTTATAGGCTACTGAAATTTTCCTGTTATTCAAAGCATTTGGTTAAAACATTTACACAACAAACCCATTACTAAAAACTGAAAGTAATCTTTGGACACTGAATTATAAAAACTACTGAATTTTAGTAGTGTGAGCAAGATCTTACCAAAGGATTTCTGTCATTTCCCAAAAAGTATGCTATAAATTACTACTGAAGTGAAAAATGTGAAAAAATACTTTAAGAGAAGAATTCAAGTCATATCACTATATATATCTATTTCCTTTAACTTAGACTATTAGCTTTTTATACTAGATAATCAACAAAATTAATATTTTATATCAAATAATAACCTGACATAATCATAAATCCTTGATGAGCTTCATTAGAGTTCAGATTGATTTTGTTAAACAGAGGCACTAGAACTCAAATTCAGAGAAAAAAAACACTTTCCTATGGAGCATTTTTAAAGAAAACATTCTAGATGTTCAAATTTATAAATAATAAGAATATGAAGCTACTTTTTCTAAAGTGGTAACTTTTTCACCAAACTAAACTATAGCTAACATTATCAAGTACTAGAAATAAACGGAGCTACTTAGAAAATGGCTTATCCTCCTAAATTTGTTGAGCCAGAAGATACACGGTGCTTTTCCATGGACTATGTGGACAACATCAAAGAGACAGCCAGTTTGGAGCTGTTTAAATTCTTACCCAAGATACAGCTGAGGAGTACTGGAGTGATAAACACCAGATTCTTACATACTGACTGAACACTATCATCACTGGTTGTGCTCATGCGACTATACTCCATTTTACACAAGGTAAATCAGATTATGATACCCTCTTGCTTAATATCCTTCTATTGGCTTCCCATCACACTCAGAATGAAACCCAAACTCCCTAACCTGGTTTGCGAAGCCCTCCATGCTTGGACGCCTAACTACCTTGTGGAGTCACTGTCCCTTCCCCCAGGGAGGACAGCCACTGGTCTCCTACTCTTCTCTGACAAAGGGAGCTCCTTCTGCCTGACATTCTTTCTCTTAGAGCTTTTTCATGGTGGCGTCTACCTGTCATTTAGATATCAGTTTAACTGTGACCTCCACAACATAGCTTGCCTGATAGCCACTTTAAAATAGTGACAAAGTTTCTCTTTTTGACCAAACTTTTCTGTTTTCAACTAGACCTCATCCTTGGACTCTGTCCCCAACTGTTCTAAGTCGGTCTGAGTGAAGAATCCTATACTAAGTCATCCTCTACTTTTGGTATCTGATCAAGGACCTTATCCCCAACCCTTGATATCTAAGTCTTTGCCCTGCCTTTAACAAGAATCTTGTTAGGCCAGTTTAGCAAGAATCTCCCAACTCTTAATATCTTAATTTAGTAATTCTTTAAATTACACTCAGTTTTTGCACTGGTGGGTGTGCAGTCAACTTTCAACACAACAGGGAACATACACTATTGATTCAATTAATATAATGTCTTTATTAATTTCCATAAACTAAAATTAGTTTACTTTATATATTTTTTATTTCCCATTCCTACTTCAAAGATTGCATCAGAAAACCAACAATAAACATAAAAAATTTTAAAGAATCGAATGTCAACAAGACAAAAGTTATAAACCTATTTTGTTAATAGTAAATATTCTAGATTATTAAATTAACATTTTTATTGTGGTACAATATACATAACATAACATTTTAAATTAACATTTAAAATACATTGAAAATGTTTTCTCACCAATATTAGGGTGCTTCAAAAGACGGCAAATTCTAGCTTCCCTTTCCAGTTTCTGATGATCTGTTTAAAAAAAAAAAAAACTAGAAAAATAAATAACAATACAGCATAAAAGAATAAAACACAATAAATAGCATATCCAAATGACAGAAAGCCTTTACATTTACTTATCCTATGATTTCTTTTTAAAACAGTGATCATGTGAATTTGGAATTAGGTGAACAGCACATAGTTCAACAATGTAATTTTATTTTTCATCGGCTGGAGGGTTGATGGAGGGAGGTATAAAATAGAGCTGAATTTAGACTTCGGCTGGGGGAAACAGAAACGGAACAGGACTATGCATTCTTATCTTTAAGTATACATTGTTATAACAACTTAATAACCCAATGTAGACATATTCATTTGGAGCAGAGGATGCATATGTGGAAATTGGATTACCAATAGAGCCAGTGCTAAATAGGATAACTGCAGTTACTCCTGAGGGAGAAATGTTCCCTGTCCAGTCTAGTCATTAGTTGAGAGCCTTTACATAGAATTTCTAATTTAAATGGCAAAAACCCTCTGAGATAGGCAATATTGTTATCCCGATTTTAAAATACAAAGACTAATAGTATAGTTTAACGTCACTGCTTTAATTCATGCAAAGGCTCCAGCAATTTTATCCACATTTCTTTTGCATTTATGAATGCAACTCACATCAACACATGTATAAATGTCAACATAATTTTTTAGAAGGCAAATTATGTTTTAGTTTTATTTTGAAAATAGTTTTGACCTTGAAGATCCCCTAAGAGAGTTTCAGGGACTCTGTGGATCTGCAGACCACACTGAGAACCACCGGTGTATGCTATAAAGAACTGCTGTATATAAGGGACATTTTTGGCAATTTATACATATATAATGCTATTAATAGCTCTAAGTGTTAAAAATAGTGTCTTGGTGAATTATCATGGCATTGGATAGGCTCTAGAACTGTCCCTATTATATCTGGATTGCCAAATACAACGACTGATATCCTCTGCCCTTACCACTATGTAAAACTACACATACTTAAAATACATATAAATTGTCAAGTCCCTATCTCTTTTAACAGCCAAGCAACTTCTAGAATATTCATATTTCAAAGAATACAAGTAAACACAAAACGTTAAACCAGATTTTGAGAATGCATTATGATTATCTTAACACCATTATCTTAAACAAATACTATAAAGTGTTATATGTAAAGCATATGAAAGACATATGCTTATAGGGATTATAATTTTGTTATAGAGACAGGGATATGCAAATATATGTGCTAAACCATGTGATTATATATGTAAATCATCTGAAACATATATAATTATATTAAAGAAAAAAAGGAAGCAAAGGACATTTACAGACAACAAATTTTACAGAGTTTTAGTTATAGAGAGAAAAATAATTTCAGAATTTTATATAGCCTATTGTTATGGGATGAACTATTTCCTTGCAAAGTTCATATGTTGAAGTCCTAACCCCTATCCCCCAGAATGCGACAGTATTTGGAAACAGGGTGTTTAAAGGGACAACTGAGTTAAAATGTGGTCATCAGTGTGGGTTCCAATCTAACGTGACTGGTGTCCATATACGAAAGGAGACAAGGACACCGACATCCACAGAAGGAGGACCCAGTGAGGACACGGGCAGAAGATGGGCGTCTGTCTACCAGCCAAGGAGAGAAGCCTCAGAAGAAACCAACCCTCTGACACCTTCATTGCAGACTTCTAGCTTACAGAACTGTAAGAAAATAGACTTCTGTTGTTTAAGCCACCCACCCAGTCTGGGGTATTTTGTCGTGGCAGCCCTAGCAAACCAATACACCTATGTATTAATTTTCTCTTGCTATGTATCAAATATCACAAACTTAGAAGGTCAAAACAACACACATTTATGATCTCACAGTTTCTGTGGGCCAGAAACCTGGGCTTGGCTTAACTGAGCCCTTCTCTTTAGGGTTTCTCCCAAGGCTGCAATGAAGGGGTCAGCCATGGCTGGGGTCTCATGTAAAGTCTCAACTGGGGAAGGATCTGCTTCCAAGCCCGCGTGCTTGTTGGCAGTGTTCAGTTCCTCAAGGGCTGTCGAGCTGAGGGTGTCTGTCCCACGTGGCTGCTGGCTAGAGGCTGCCCTTGGTCCCCTGCATGTGCCCACATGGCAATTTGTTTCATCCAAGCCACTTAAGGAAATTCGAGTCTGGGAAGCAAAAGGGAAAGCCACTATCTTATCCAGCCCAATCGTGCAAGTGACATCCCACTGCAGTTGTCCTATCCAATTGGTTAGAAGCAAGACATCAGGGTGGCCCAATTTCAATACAGAAGGGCGTGGACACCAGAAGGCAAAGATTATTGGGACATCTTGGAGTGTGTCTGCCACAGCAGACTTTACCACCATAGTGCTAATGAGTTTTCTCTCTGACAAGCAGATTCCTTCACTTTTTCTTCCATATAATCACATCATTTAATGATCTCCTATGAATCATAAGGCATTCTGCACTTTCCCATCAGGGCATGTTTTGACATTCCAAACATGATGATATAACTAAATTCTAGTTTTCATGAAAACTGTTAAATTCTAGTCTTAACAGTCATGTAAATGCATACCACCTGGTGTGTTTTGCATGGAACATCAAGTTCACAACTTTGCCTTTAGAAGGAGTAGGCAGGTGAGGAGGAGTGATTAAGTACCTATGACAGTATTACCGAAAAGCACATTTCTGTATTTATCCTGCTAAAGAGATGAATTAGTTTTACACTTAAAGTTTTCTTTACTTTTAATTCAGTAAGCACGAAAATCATACATCCTACCTCATCACTCCCAACTCTCACAACTACAGTGGCAAGAGGCAAAGGCATCACGGAAGGAAAGACATCATCATACAACTGGGCACCATGTGAAGATTCTCTTTCATTAGCCACAGGCCCTGAAGCGAGTGTAGAACCAGTTTCATTTATCATTCATTTGATATTGATTAAAGGTCTTGAACTGTAATAGTTTGGCTTTATTCTTCCTTTGAAGCTCAAGTCCATACTCTTACATGAATGAAAATATAAACTTTTAGGCTGTAATCTTGTCAGGTCTGAAAAGGTACACGCTATTAGCGATGTATGGTTGAAGACCTGCCGTATAAACGATGCCTTAGCAGAAATATATTATCAGTAAATTTTGACATGAAGTCAGTGGGGAATAATATTATTCAGTACAGAGTCATCTAGATTTTAAAACATTTCCTGAGAATCTGGGTGAAATGTAGCTATTTCTTCTCAGCTTGAGGAATACTTTTTTAATCCATACAATAGTTTATTTCAAATGAGGTGAACAACGTTAATTCAGAGCTAATGAAGTAAATCTTTCACTCTTGTTCCAAATCAAATTTTAATCTTTATGCAAAATAATAACTCTGATCACAAAGGCAAATTAAAGTGCTAGCCCCGAACCATGTTAATAGGAGTGTCACTAAAGGTACACAAAGCAACAACTTACCTATCTAGTAATATCAGGGAATGAGCTTTTATTGATAAGCAAATTTCAAAAGTAACTACTTACTGCCCAAGTGACCAAGCATTAAAATGCTGTGGAAGGAAATCCAACAGTCATTGCTTTCTAACAAGGATGACATAAAATGATTTAATCTTTCTTGACACCACTGAGTCATCATTATTAGCATTAATTATTACCCTGCTATAACCCAGAGGCTATAGAGGTGTGAAAACCCACAGGTCTCTGCCCCACCTGCCAATCTGCCCCCTATCCTTTTGTACAGAATCACCTTCTCAGCATAAGCAATGCCAAGGGAGGGTTTGGGCAAAGGGAGGAGGTTGGCCTTCTGCCATTACTGGCCAGCTACCACCCTTTCCCCAAACACACACACACACACACACACACACACACACACACACACCCATGAATGTAAACATACAACCTAAGGAAGGCTTGGGGTTTGCCACAGCCAGGAGGATTTAATTCTTCTACCTCCCCCTTCCCACAAAGAGAATCCCACTTAATTTCAATAATCCTACATTGAAATCATGGAAGAGTTGCCTGCCCCTCATGCCCATAAAAATGCAGTGTTTAAAATCCTGCTCATTCACTAATTTTTGTCCTGTTAGCCTATCGGCAAGCCAGCTTCAGCTGCCACATTCCCTATTCTTATCTCCTTGGTCCTTTGCCTTCCTTGGCCTTTTGTGCTCCAGTTTGAGATCAGTGCCTCAGATCTGTCGATTTTTGAGGGCAGGTTAATCCTGCTTCTCTGGTTTCTTTGTTATAAGCAGCCCAACTTGATTTTCAATTTTTTCACGTTTGTTCCATTTCTAAGAAACAGTGGTCTCCTGAACCCTCTTGGAGCGAAGTTGGAATAAAGTGAATAAATGATAATTGCCCCTCCCTTATTTGACAACTGCTGGGAACTAAGAACCACAGAAAACAAGGGTATAGAAACAGAATCACGAAGAACCTGGAAGCGAGAACCTGAAGAGACCCCCCCTAAGGACAGACACACTTGCTAGTGCGTGGATTCTGGAGCACTCTAACGTGGCCTCAGAGGCCTTATTCCTGGAGGTTTTGGAATTACATTCTGAATGCATTTTTCTTGTTAGAAATACTGTGTCTCACTGAATGAAGTGTTCCTTTGGAAAGAATATATAGATCCTGTCCATTTAAGTAGGTCACATTTAAAAGCAGTCTGTAAGTTAGAAGGAGCTATTTGAAAAGCCACTTCACTCCAAAATCAGAAAGGGATGTATATGGATCTAAAGCTGTCATTGTCAGTTAACATAAAGTTTAAAAATTCAGAATTAAATATTTCATTTTCTCCTTTAATTTTGAATTATCCCATTCCATAAATTTGAACTTTTAATTATTTCACCTACATTCCTTCTGACAATAGGTATTAGTCACTCCATGTGACTTCTGCTGCCTACTATGACCCTGACAAATCAGTGACCTGCACAAATCAGTGCAAATGTTATCCTGCACAGGTTGCCACTCTTCTTTCCATGGAAAAGTCGAATTAGATACATGTGCTGAAAGTTCGTATCCCTTAATTT